GCTCTGGGCTCCATGTGTTAGGGCTTGGGAAACCATATGGGGTGCCAAGGATCAAACATGGGCCAGCTGAGTGCAAAGCAAGCACTTTACTGCTGGAGTATCTCTCTGGCCCCCAGACCCAAAATAATATGACCTCATAGAACATGGGCTGAGCTCATACATGTGAGCTCATTCACGCGAGAGATCCTCAGCACCTCAGGGTCCCCAAAGTACTGCCAAGAGTATCTTCTGAGCACAGAACTATAAATAGTCCTTGAACACTACACCTTGCCACTCCCCCACCACACACACACAGTAACACACAATTTGTATGTTACCTACCTCTTTTGACTCATGGCTCATTTTGGTGGATGTGCTTCTGTAGTTTTTAAGACTGTATCCTGATGTTGTTGGAAAAAACATGCCACACATTTTGGTCAAGCTGGTTGGAATTGTCATTCTTAACTTCTAAAACTTTATTTTTCATTTACCAAGAGTTTGAAATCTGCAATTATAACTAGATTTTTCTTCTAAGTTTTAGCTCCATGTGTTTTGAAACTAGTAATTAATCTTTTAACTTCTTGGGTCACACTCAGAGATGCTCAGGGGTTACCCCTGGCACATGCATTCAGGACAGAGGACCATATGGGATGCTGGGAATCGAACCCGAGTTGGCCACATGCAAGGCAAATACCCTACCTGCTGTGCTATCGCTTCAGCCCTTAGACTCATCTTTTAATTCCCTTTCAGTGCTCGGGATTGAGCGCAGGGGGCCTCCTATATCGTATCCAAGTGCTACTGTTGAGCTATATCACCCACCCCACTATGTTCACATACATATAAGATTATAATCGTTTGGGAGTTTACTCATACACATTCTCTATATACTGGACACATTTTCCCCACAAATCAATTTAGGTACTACGTATCCACATTTAACATATATATCCAGTATGCCAATGTCTTCCTTTTATTAGTCAATGGCATGACCAATATGGTTGGAATGTTCCCATTATGAGTGTAAAGTACTAACTCCAACTTTAACCATATTCTGATTTCTTCATTATTTATTGTGGAGATTATTGTATATGTGGCTTTTCCAACTTTGTATCAGTAGAATGATTTCTCAAAAAATTAGTGTAGACCAAACTCAGCTTGGCCACCTCCTAGTTGTGACCTTGATCAAGTAACCTCCAGGTCTGGGTTATTTTGGCTATACCCAAGCAGTGTTCAGGGCTTACCCATGGCTCTTTGCTCAGGGGACCTTATGTTGCTGGGGACTGAACCTACCAGCAGAGTCCAAGGAAAGCGCCTTATCCCTGGTACTGTTTCACGTAAGTACATCTGAAGGGATGCTGACACTGGGGGCAAAGAGGTGCTATTGGTTGGACAGCACGTGGCAGGGCTAGCTAGGGGACCATGAGGTGCCAAGGACCATACTATTCAGTCCTGTTTCTGAAATTATAAGTGCAGCTAATAGAAGTTCCTGTTGCAGCAGAGTGCAAGGTGATTAGTATAGAGTGATCAATGCCTAATGGATAAACTTTCAACTTGTATACAAAAATGAATCCGGTATACATTAGATGCGTTAGTCCTGATACAATTTCAAATTCTCATTAGGTAAAGCCTGACAGAACTTTATTATTATCTGTTAAAGTTCCATTTCCTTTGTGAATTATCCTTTATCAGCTCTTGGTGCTTTCCTCAGATATACATTTTATTAACAGCTTTAAATCGTAAGCATTTTTAAGAAGTTTGCATTTTTACTTTCCTGATGGGTCTACCTGTTAAAATTTTAGACATTTTGGTATTTTATCGTTTTACCTCGTCTGGTAATTCAGAAATTATTAAAGACTTTCATCTTGTATAAATTCAGTTCTTAACTACCCATTATCAGTAATAATATGTCCTCTTCCTACCTACCAATGATTACTGACAAAGTGCTCCATTCTATATTGAAATGTTGGACTTTAAGTTTCAAAGTCTTAAAATGATTGCTTCACAATTATAAAACTAGTATTTCGTAGTAAATGAGAACCAAACTTTACATGAGTTTTCTCGAAAATAAGTGAGGACTCAACAGTAATCTATGAATCTTGTTCTAAATTGGTTCTCTGAACTATATTTTTAAATTAGCGTGAATGGGGTAGGGAGAAGACATTTAGAGGAAAAAACTACTATATAAGGTCAAACTCCTTAAGAGCTGTGTAAGTTACACATTTGGAGCAGCATTTTGACAACTAAGTGGTGGTTATCAGGAAACCCACAGATAAGTATACAGAAAGGTAAAAAAACATCTAATATATAAAATGAGCAAATTAAAGTCTGCTCCTAATAACTAGTTATGACAAATGTTTACTACAGCCCAGAAACCAAAATGACAGAAACTGATCACTCCTAATTTGATTCCACGATGTTCAGCTAAGATACCCTAAAAGTTGATTTACTCAATTTCACCAAGGCAGTTAGGAATGCGGTGAGTTCAGGACAAGCAGAATTTTCAAACGTTAAGTTGCTTCTGCTGTTTAAAGTGTCAATTTGCACCTCTTTTCATACTTTGTCTTAGTTCTTCTAAAGGAACTACTTTCTGTGTGCTCCAACCAATGTGAAGAGAAAGTTACTGCAAAGATTTCTACCAAGTTCTTTCCAAAGCTAAGTCAAGCTTTTTAGACATTTTGTTTTGAGTCCACACCTAGTGGTGTTCAGTGAAGTACTTAGGGGATCATGATATGAGATCAAACCCACAGTTCTGGTATATAAAGCATGTGCCTCAGTCTCCAAAATATGGCCTGCCTTAAAGGTTTGACAGAAAATTATCAATATGTTCAAGTTTATACTTTAGGAGGTTATTTGGTTTGTGGAGGCTGTGCTCAAGAACTGATATGGGATGACAAGGATCAAACCTGGGTCAGCAGCAAGCAAGACAAGCATCTTACCCACCAACCCCTCAGGCCTCAGTAGGAGATTGTTAATGACAAGCAGGATTTAAGACGGTTTACATCTTAATAGAGATAGAGACTTTTTGAAACAAAGACCTCTTAGATCAACTAGAGAGCACAGAAGGGAAAAGAGAAACAACCCAAGGCCTGATTATGTTTCCAGTTAAAGCTAGAGCTATTTAACAGGTGGTTGAGTTTGTATTAAAGATCTTTAATGCTTTTTGGGTCACACTCAGCGGTGCTTGGGGATCACTCCATGGTGGCAATGCTTGGAGGAACATATTTGGTTTTAGAGATTGAATCCAATTGAGTTGTTATGCAAGGAAAAGTGCCTAAACCACTGTAAATCTCTCCAGCTACATATAATTTATCTGCTATAAGCTCAGTTTTTGAGACAATGAAATCTAACTCGTCTGTATCTAAATCTAATAAAGCTGCTTCAATAAATCAGGAACAGCCAATTTAAAAAGTTCACATGCGACCAGAACATTAGGACAGCGGGTAGGGTGCACTTGGTTTGCAAGAGTACAACCCAAGTTCAACTCCCCAGCACCCCATACGGTCCTGAGCCTCACCGCAGTGATCCCTGAGTGCAGAGCCAGGAATAAGTCCTGAGCACCACTGGATGTGGCCCCCGGAAGAAAACAGTCATGACTCAAAACAAATTCTAGGCTGTTTTAAATACTTCACAGCCATCAATATTAATCAAGATAACTAAACCTGTATTTCAAATTTTGACTGTCTTTTTCTCCACCTAGATATGACTCAGCTTTCTCAAAATAGGATCAAGTTTCTGTGGCACAACCTTGCGAGAAGTCTAACTCTGGACACTGTTGTAAGATTTATTCCCTGAAAAAGCCTCACGCTCTCACCAATCCTACTTACTGAAGTGCTCAGTCACATAAATATCTTATTCTTCGAGCTAAAAAAAGCACCAATCTGGGGAGCAAACCCCCCATCATACAATGGCAGAATTTTTAAGCCCAATCATTTCTTTTAGAGGTAAAGGGTAGTGCTTTCTACCCTCAGGGAAACTACGTTCTGAGTAAGATAAAGTAGACTTTCCAAATACCCTGCCCCTATTGTCAATAAAACCAGATTCACCATCTTGTTTCTGAGAAGTCTCATGTTTCTGAGAAGTTTCTCTCATATCCCTTAAAGAGATTAGCTGACTGGTATACTCGTTTGGTCTAGGTAACTAAGGGAATAATATAATGGAAGAAACTGTCACGTCTAAACTGCTAGTCCTAAAACTGCTCACTCTCCTGGATCACTTTCCACAAGAAAAGCCAGCTGTCAGTTGTCATTCAAGGAGCTCAGTACAGATATTCACATAATGAGGAACTGAGTACCTTTAACAGCCATGAGCTGGTAATCTTAGAACCCGGCTTCTCTAGGCCGGGTCAAGCTTTCACAATGACAGTTATACTGCAAGCTGAATCATATTGTAAGACTTCAAGCTAGACATCACTCAACCTGACTCAGAAATTGTCAAGGGTTAAACATACATACAAAGACTGCTCACCGTTTCTTGACTGAAGAAAATTCTAAATACAATAATTTTGACTAAGATTAATGAATTTTTAAAGATAAGTTTAAAATTCATACCTAAAAACTTCCAAAGGACTCAGTTACTAAATTTCTTCCTCACTACTAACAAAAACTTTGGAGTATACATTATCTGTAGTCAAAGCCCATTACTAACTGGTTACAGCCTATGTACTGCCAAGTATTTTACAATTACACACAAAATAAAAGCAACAGGATCGTATTTTTTTCTCTCACTGGGACTATGCTGCATATAATTGGTACTTCTTTCAGAAAAACATCTTTTTGGGGTGCTGGATACTTTACCATATGCAGGGCGAGCAACTCAATCACTGAACTACATCCCCAGCCAGATGTATTTCTATCAAATGTCAAAAAGTCTAAATTATGAGGCTTGATTGCACTTGGCCTATTTAGGTTTAAGTAAAAATAAATGAATAGTGAGGAAGGAGGAAACAATAACTGTATTACATATAACTGATCTCAGAATTCAATATATTGCAGTTTTGATATTTATCAGACATCACAGATAACTACCAGAACATCACATAAGTTTATTTCAGATGTAACAGCAATGTTAAAATCAACAAGTTTAATTCTTAACTGCACCAAGTAAACTTAGCATTTAAGTATTTTTAAAGTTATTCCCTCCAAAAAACTGAGGGAGCTTTCCTTTTCTACCCCACACCATGGATTCCCAATAGTTATTTTTGGAGGATTTTCAAATGAGTAAACTGGAGGATTTCAGACTTCTTTCCTCAAATGAAAACTAATTTGGACAAATTATATTGCATAGATTTCTCCACAAATTCTTTTCTTTAGGACTAATGTAAAATATACGACTTTTGCCTATTCGCCCCACAGTAAAAATGATTTGTCCTGGAAAATATGATGGACATATCTTGTGATTTTCTAATAGTTTTACCACAATAATTTTTATTACATCTCAAAATATCCAACAGGGGACATTATTTCAGTCTTTACCAACTTGTAAGCATATGAACTACTAGCACCCCAGCTTCTATTTCTACATCCTCCTCCTTTAGCAGATGGAATTATTTAAAACAGTTTCATGTAGGACAATTAACCCTTTATAAACATATACAATTTAGGTAAAATCACTGACTAGTATGGAAAAAGAAACTATGATAGGGAGCCTACACACTCAATTCAAAATTTATTATTTTTTCCTCCTTAAATAATATGTACTTAATTGTCATGAGGCAGGTACTCGGTTTTCAATAACCACATTTAGGGATACATTCATAGGACTGATTAGATAGTCCAGGTGAAATGGTTATAGAAATAGAGGCAGTGTCATCTCAGAAAACTCATTTATATATCAAAATCTATTTTGATATCTGGAAGTTTACAAAAAGGCTGAATTCTTCAAACTAATTTTCCCTTCTGTAACTCACACACTTAGTCTTGGCAAGAGCAAGCTGAAACTTATCCATGAAGTTTTAAAGGTGCTTAATGCTAAACTTTTCTTCTAAGCTTAGATTTGGACTGCTTAAGAAACTGAGACTCAAGAAATCAGTATGGTCTTTCTATAATTTTGCTATCTTAAGATTAGGACCCTACACACTCATTCGACAACTATCTTCCTTTTCTGTATTACGCTTGGCACTCAATTAAGACTATAGAAGTCTACTGTACTTTTAACTTTCACATTCTCAAAAATGTGCATAAACGTCGTGTAAAATAATTCTGATACTTAACATGTTGGGAGAAATGAGTCTTTTATGCCAGAACTTTCCTGAAACTAAATTAATCTTCACTTAAAAGTCAGATGACAGAAATGTCAAACCTTGTGCATTTTCAATGTCTAATCAGAACGTTACTTGGGCCACAGTACTGGCAATCTAAATTTTTTTAAATACTGGAGATGGGACTATGGAGGAAAAATGAAAATGCCAGATGTCCCTTATCTCACAAAAAATATCAACCCAATCAAAGCCAGTCCCTATGTGTCATTAAATGATCTGGCATAAACCAGTCCTGTGAAGAAGAGGAAGTCACAGTGACACTTGCATTATTAACACTTCTAGGCTTCTATTTTTCCAAGAATAAAAACGGTTATGTTCAACAATTCTCCCTCCCCCAAATCCTTACTATAATAGGCACAGAATGTAAGCAAATCTGGGATGTTCTCCAACAGATAAGCAATAGCACAGCTATATTATTCTCAAAAATACTGACTAGATATTCTTTCCTATATAATCAAATGCTCAGTGGCCAAATTTTAAACAATCCGGAGTAGCTAACATTAAATGCATTTATTGTGCCACAAGTTCCTTGAAGCTTCCTTTTAGGTATTTTTTAATATGTCCAAGAGAAAACACCTGCTTCAGGCTTATTTAGAGATATTGACCTATAAGGACACTATCAACTTCATTTTCAAAGTTAGACTATCTATTGTGGGTTTACTGAACAAAAAAGACTGGGGGGGGGGGGGTGAATCACAACAAACATCTTTAGGTCAGTTAAAGGCCATTATCTCTAGCTGGGATATTAAAAAAAATTAATCTCACCAGCCCACACTCTAAAAGTTAATGCCACTAATAATCAACCGCAGGAAAACCAAACCTGCTAAAAACCAGTTCACTCATTAGCAAAATGCAGTTTAACTCAAATACTGAGAACAATGTTTTTGACACTATCTACCAAAACTCTCCCACCCACCCTTAACTTTCATCGAAGAAGAAATAATTGCTTTCAAAAAAACAAAATAAGCTTAGTATTTCTTATAAGGATAACAAATGGTCTAAACTCCTGATATAGTACTCAGAAGGAAAGAGGTGGAGTGAAGGCAATGTCCAGGGATTAGCATCCCACAGTCTTAAAAAACCCAAAGTACCACAAACACACTAAACTTGTCTATGAGTTAGAAAACAAAATATTGCTGTTTTTTTGTTTTTTGAAATATACGATAATTTGTAGGCTCTGCCCTTCAATGTGAAAGCAGGACATTAAAAAAAAGGCTAAAAAAATTTGAAATTTATACTCAAATTTTAAAGACCCATATAGCTTAACTGTGAAACTAATGTATATTTTTCTTTCCTATTGTCAAACCACCTCACCAAAAATAAAAAGGAAAAAAAAAAAAAGAGAACTGAAACAATCCAAACATGATTAATTTTAAGTCCTTGAACATATTAAAAATTTTAAGAGGAAAGGAAAAAAAGGGGGGGAAAGGACAAAGGAGGGTGAAAAGCTTTAAAAGAAAGGGGGGGGGGAATCAATGGGCCTCTCTTTTATTTGGCGACAAGCAAGTGCAAGAAAGTTCATTTGTCATTTGATCAGTTGTCTGTCTTTTGCACATCTGCATTCTGGCCAGAAGGGACTTTGAGGTTTTTCTGCAGCACATGAGCATCTGCGGGCTCTATTCTCTTATAGTAGTTCTTCTTTGTCTCAATAACCTCAAAGCCAAATTTTCTGTAGAAGTCAATTGCTGACTCATTGCTGATCTGCACATGCCTAAGATACATAAGAAGACATCAGGAAAAAATAAGTTTTCATAAGCTTTTACATATTACCCAGAGATAGCTTTAAATGAGATAGTTTCAATAATGCAGAAATTAGTCAAGATTCTCCATATAATTACCAGTAAATACGTATAAAGATTAAGTCCAAAACATCAACAAATATTAGATACTCATTTCAGAAAAACTTTTGTTGACAAATTGAGATTTGTAACGTTTTACTTGCAGGTAGTAAGTCTTTACTCTTACTATCAAAAAATATCTTAGCTAGTATAACATTTCATATTACAGAGAAATGATTCACAGATCATATTAACACACGCAGAGAAAAATGATAAAAATTTAAAACTAGGGCCTCCTGTAATTAATGCATTCTTAGTTGATAGAACACGATATATTTCAAAAATAATTAACTTGAGCTTTCTCAATTCTCAAAAATAGTATTATGTAATTAAATCGCTTTCCTACCAAATGAAAAATGAGAATAATCTAAATGTGTGTACTATGAAGACAATAAATGATTGTTTTCTTAATCTTGCTTTTCAATCTGAGAGTACTTAAAATACAAGTAGCCTATCAGCTATGGACTCTAATTTTGATTATTCAACTCTTACAAATGAACACGTTCCTCAAAGCCTTAACAACACACAATGCATAAACAGTGTAAATGGAGAAAAGTAGTATTAAAGACACTGCATCTTAAACTCTGAAGTCTTGAGATCATTGGTTTTGTCCCTATAATTCTGAATTCCTACTCCAAGATAACAGGAAAATTAAGCCAGACACACCAAACTGTGGGCACAGCTCTGGCCTTCCATAATGCTGACCAATGCGCAAACCCAGGAGCCTGATCATCTGAGCACCACCAGCAGGATCTATCCTTGAGAACAGAGCTAGAGAAAACCTGAGTCATGTGTGGCCCCAAAACAAAGCAACAGTGAAAGAAAATAAAAATGTAATTAAAAACAAAAAAAAGAAAAAGAAAACTGGTAGGCCCAGCACTATACTTCTGGCACTAGTGGCCCACTTAGGGATTGAACCCAGGATTTTGCACATGAAAGAAACATGCTCTACCTCTTGGGCCACCTGCTGGGCCTAATAATATACTTTATCTTAGGTTCATTATTATTAAAGTAAATTCAGTATGAAACTTTTTGTTTTCAAAGAAGTAATAAGTAATCAGATTTTAAGGAATAAAGAATTCTGTAGTCAACATTTAAATATAATGCTACTTACAGGTAAATGTTGTCAAAAGTGCCATCTTTTTCACAGATGTTTAAGACATGATTTAACATTTTAGTTCCTATTAAGAAGACAAATAAATAACCTCATTAAAAAACCAATCTCTTAAACTATACATACGCCTTAATATTTGCGCCTACAATGGAATTTATGAGACAAACATCAGGTAGATACTGATTAACCAGTTATTTTCACTTATAACTCATTCCTAGTATGTCTAAAAAATAGAATAAACAGGAAAGAATTTGTTTCTTTTAAGAAGTTAAAAAAAAGTCTCACCTATTCCTAGCCTTCGGTATGGAGCCAGACATCCTAGTGTCATGATGTAAAGTCTCTTTTGATTCTGTGAATGATCCACCCTACAGCATACTGCACCTACTGCAATATCATTGAAATAGGCTGTGATGGAAGGAAAAAAAATGTTCAACAGAGAATACGACACATTTTGTTGAATCCCTTCATCTCCTAGAAGGACTAAACTGTTGCCACCAGTCACTCAAACATTCAAGGTTCAATTACTGCCCCCCCCCATCATATCTTCATAGAAAAGTAAAATCTCTACTGTAAAGCTAATATACAAACACACAAAACAGTAAAAAATGTACTTAGCAATTCCTTTTAAAATTTAAATATTTTATCTTGGTTTTTCTCAGAATTTCAATCACCCCCATTACTAAATTGTTAGGATTACATTAATAGCTAAGAGACAGAACATTAATTAACAAATAAAATGAGGGGGGAAAAAAACATACCAAGTTTTGCTAGCTCACCAACCTCCAGCACATCCTTGTAGAACTTGTCATTGTAGCTGACGGGAAAGATGACCTGGTTTAATCTCTTCAACTGTTTAATATTGTGTGGTGTCACATCTCCCAGCTCGATCCGGCTACTGGAACAAACCAAAATGTACTCAATAAAATATAATTAGTTTTGTTAGTTAAGAACCACAAAATATTAATTACTAATTTTTTAAAGAACACTAGGATTCTGATACTCTACTAATGGAGTGTAAAATCAGATACCGATTCTAGTCTCTCTGAGGCAATCTCGCCTATGTATCAGAAAGTCTAAGAGGTGTATCTCCTAGTCTGGGATGTAGCTGAGCTCAGATGACTGTGCTGCATGTGTGAGGCCCTGGGTTTGATCACTGACACTGTGGGTATAAAAGCCATCACACTTCAAAAAATTTTTTTCCAGTTTCTGGATAATACCTAGATCTGCACTCAGTTACTCCTGGAGGTTAGCAGAGAACCAGATGGAATGTCGGGTATCAAACTAATGTTGGTGGTGTGCAAGGCAAGCTATCGCTCCAGTCCTCAATCACATTTTTTAAAAAGTAATATTGTTTAAGTAAACTTCCTATGGGAATTTATTCTCAAAAATCCAAAAATACAAAACCATGCAGAGTGAAATTAAAGCAGGAATGTTTACATGTCATATAAAGCAGCATCCAAACCAGATTCCTAGACCTTCCCGTATACCTATGGAGAAATGGTTTGTGGGAATCCACATCTTGAGAAAACAAAAACAAAAAACCGTAAGTATGAAAACTACTTAGAAAGCCAATACTAGCCCTCTATATCTCAAACTCATTTAAAAAAAAAAAAAGTTAGGGGCTGGAGACAGTACAGAGGGAAGGTGCTTGCTTTGCACACAACTGTCCCCAGTTTAATCCCTGGCACCTTGTAGGGTTCCCCAAGTTTGCTAGGAGTAATTTCTGAGCTCAGAGCCAGGAGTAACCTCTGAGCATTGTTAGGTGCTCAAATACCTTAAAAAAAAAAAAGTTGGGGGCTGGAGCGATAGCACAGCAGGTAAGACATTTGCCTTGCACGTGGCCAACCCGGGTTCAATTCCCAGCATGGCATATGGTCCCCGAGCACCACCAGGAGTAATTCCTGATTGCATGACCCAGAAGTATCCCCTGTGCATCGCCGGTGTGGCCCAAAAAGCGGGGGAAAAAAAAAGTTATATGGAGGAGGGGGGAGAGTAAAACTGTAAAATGTGTCCTGGTAGGGAGCCAGCTCAAAGGGCTGGAGTGCTGGCTTTGAATCCCAGCACTGCTAGGAGTAACCCCTGAGCAATGTGCTCCAAGCACCCAAAAACCAAACACACACGGAGTTTCATACTTAAGTAACAAATGTTGGACTGCCTGTAGAGCAAAAGGGACTTTTCATAGCTTAAGTCAGTTTTATTAGAAGAAGCTTAAAAGTTGATGCAACTGATGAGAAATCTGAATAGGACCTACTATTTTTCATCCCACTGCCACTAACACTAATATTAATTCCTTAAATACCAGAAGAGGATGAAAACAAACATTTTAAAAATGATCTAAAAGGAGTCAGAGAGATAGACAGTGGCTAGGGTGCTTGCCTTGCACACAGGTCTATCCCATTTGATTCCACGCATCCCATATGGTCCCCTAGTTCAACAGGTGTGATTCCTGAGTGCAAAGCCAGAACCCCTGAGCACTGCTGGGCATGCCAATAAATAAAGTGTGTGTCTATTAAAAAAATAAATATCAAAATAAATTAAAAATAAATTATCTAGTGCCACCAAATGCACGACAATGTTAATCCTACTTTCACAAAGCTACCTAGGATCAGAACACAATGACTCGTCAACATCAGGGTAATATAAACAATACACCTTAGTTATTTGCATGATTTTACATAAGTTATACCTACACTCTGTGGAGAAGTGACTAAATTAGAATCCAGTCAATTTTATAATGAAAAAAAGAAAAAAGCAAGCCCCAATATGGGAACTGGTTTTTAAAAAGAGTATACTTTTGATTAACATAGAAGGATGCGATGTATTATCCTGGGAAAAAAGCATATTCCAACTAGATTCATAGAAATCTAATTACATTATAATTATTATAAATGACCCAGCTGTTAAGCATTTATAGAAAAATTTTAAGACTATTATAAAAAAACGTGTGGTCAAGAGGTAAAAGCACATGCCAAACATGTACAAGGTCTTGATTTCTACTCCCAGCACTACCTGGGCCCAGAGCTTTGAGCCTCCGTTCAGGAGTGGCCCTAGCCAACCACCCCAGCATCAATGGATACGGTCCCTATAAAAAACAGGCGTCAGCTTTTGTAGAACCCAAGTCTTCCTATGTCAACCATTTCTTTCCTCTTTTGGCGGTGGTGGTGGCGAGGTACATGCACACCCAGCTGCACTCGGCACACCGCTGGTGGGCTTGGGCAACAGTAGGAGGTGCTGGGGATCGAATCCAAGTCAGCCAAGTACAAAGCTACTGACCATACTATCTCTCCAGTCCCGAGGAGATATATATTGGTTTAGGGGCCACACCCAGCGATATTCAGAGCTCTACAGTCAAGAATCACTCCTAGTGGTGCTCAGGATGCCAGGGATCAAACCTGGCTGCAGTGTCCAAGGTAAGAGCCCTACCTGCTGTACTATCACAATGGCCCCACTCCAATAAATTTTATCTTTATGCTTTTTGTCACTGTGACTGATTCCCTGCCATGTCTCCAAATTCTTTTTTTTTTTGGGGGGGGGGATTTGGGTCACACCGGCGATGCTCAAGGGTTACTCCTGGCTCTGTACTCAGGAATTACTCCTCGCGGTACTCGGGGGACAATATGGGATGCTGGGAATTGAACCTGGGTTGGCCGCATGCAAGGCAAACTCCCTACCCGCTGTGCTATTGCTCCAGCCCGTCTCCAAATTCTTAAAATTGGAATGCAGTGCCAAGGGTGTTGTTTCAAGTGGTAGAGTTCTGCATGGGTGAGTGAGGTTCTGCATTTGATGCATCACCTCTTACCTGCCCCACCCCAATTCCATTCAGTCAACATGGGTGAAAGTCCTGCTGATGCCAGAATACCTCAGGCTCTCCAGCACCCAAGTCTGGCCTCCACAAAAGTGAAATAAATCTGAGCACATTAAATTTCTTTTCACTGACAAGTTCTCAAGATGCAAACATCTCTTAAAAATCTAGAATCTGTTACAGTCTACCAATACATAGTGACATGATTAAATGCAAATAAATTTAGCTTTCTGAAATTAGTTATCCTTCCCTATCATCTTTCACTAGGCATATCACTATTGTACTATTGTGTGTTTGGGTCACATCCTGTGATGCTCAGAGCTTACTCAGGGCTCAATGTTCGGGAAACCACTCATGGCAGGGCTTGGGGAACTGTATGGAATGCCATGGATCGAATCCGGGTGGCCATGTGCAAGACAAATGCTCTATCCACTGTACTATCTCTCTGCCCTCGTGTCTTCTTTAGTCAGGTTACAGCTCATTCAACAAACAACTCTCCTCACATTATAAGGCACCTGATCTTTTCCTTTTTAAAGACAGAAATAAAACACTTCTTATTTTCCTGAAAAATACAAGTATTGACATCCTATTCACAATTTTCTTTTTCTTTTATTGGCTAATGGCAGGGATAGAAACTGGGTCTTATACACACAAAGCATGTACTTTATTACTGAGCTACATCCTCAGCCCTGTGTGCTCATTTCTGGGTCACATCCAACAGTGCTCAAAGGCTGCTTCACTCAGAAGAAAAGGTTGGCAAACACATAGTATGCTACACTGTACTTAACACAAGTTAATTACTACTACCCTAATCCATTAGGGTAGGTAGATCAAGTCTAAATACAGATCACAAAGTTAAGTTCTTAGGGAATACATGGCTTAATTTTCTCCCCTGCATTTGATGATGATGACAATAGGAAGTTCATTTAAAGTTAAAAAGCTGTGGGTCTTGGGATGTTGCTCAGGGGTAGAGGGCCTGCTTTCCCAAGCTTGGTACCCAGCAGCGCATGGAATCCTGAGCAACTCTGCGAAGAGTGCCCTTTCAAAAGAACTTTTATGTTAAAAGAAGTTAGCACTTTTAAAAACTCTGTGTGTATCAAACTTTTCCTACCCATTGAAAGCACACTTCAGTTATCTGTAACTATCCTATCAAAGCACCTAATGTGCTGAGCCAGGGCTTCTTAAATTGTGGAAGAGGAAGGTCTGGCTACACGAAGCAGTGCTCAGGGTACTTAGCGCTCAAGGATCTTTCTTCACAGCAGCTGGAGGACAAAATGGGGTGGTGGAAGTCAACTGGATTGGCCACGTGTAAGGATAAGTGTCTCATCCCCGGTACGATCAGCTTTCTGGCCCAAATAAAGGCTTCTTAAACTTTTTCTATTTGTGACTCCTTTTTCCCTAATAAATACACCCAGGCAAGCACTACCAGAAACTTCAGATTCAGTACATGAGATGTACTGAACTTCTGACTGTTGAAAGCTGTGAAACTTTTCATGGTTGCCAGGTTTTTTGCAATCTCCATATTTAGTTTTGGGTTATGACCCACAGTTAGGTGCTATAAGCAACAAGAATGCAAAAGACTTTGCACCTACTGGGAAATACGAGCCTACATATTACAGTAGTAAAAGCGTATGTGCAAAAACCTGGAAAATTCTATAGCGGAAGTGATCCTGGGAAAGATTGTAAATGATGATGGGTCTGAAATTTATTCTATGCAGAAAGTAGAACATGTTCACAACAGCAATGACCTCTTTCCAAAACAAGTCAGTTTGATATGGTGAAGCAAAATGTAATTTGTGTATATGTGGAAGCTGGGGTTGGAGAAGAATAAATTTTATGAGGCCTTATTTATTAAGATGGCATCTGGTTGCATCCTACAACTTTAAATGCTGCCTACTTAAAAATTTCTAAATTAAGCCTAGGTCAAACTTCTGAATGTCAAAGCAGCTCTAGCAGACACCTCAAATTACACATATCCAAAATAAGACCAAATTATCTCACTCATATGTTTTATATAAAGTAAGAAGCAAGAAAATTAAATATTATCCTAATGATAACAAACCTCTGGACTCCGAAAACAGAGCTAAGGGTAG